GTGGGGGGGGGGGGGGCGCTCATGAAAATTAATTTGGATATTTCTAAAGCATAAAGTATATGTTGAATCGCGTTATGTTGGGGAATCTTAAAAGCTCAGTTGTTTGGCTGCTTGAACTTTTATCTTGTGGGTGGTTGACAGTGACGGATCTAGAATTTTAAAGCAATGGGTGCTTTATTGTCCTTAAGTTAAGTTGACGCATAGTTTAAGTGTATCACTATTTGAAACTTAAAATGAGACAATTCAATGCAAAAATATAGGGAAAATAACACTGTATAAATAATATATATATATATATATATATATATATATATATATATATATATATATATATACANACACATTTTTGTATGTTATATACAAAAAGTATATAAAAAGCACTTACCCCTCACACCAGTTTCGATCCCCGAAACAAGCAAAATAAAGGCCTACAATTGAATCTCTAAACCAAAATACCTAGTTCAGCTTTTATTTCGTAGGTGCTCATCTCTCTTATATTTGATTTTTCCATTAATTTATCATAAAATGCACAGACCCTACCCCAAAGACACTGGGTGCTTAAGCACCCACACCACTAAACGTGGATCCGCGGCTGGTGGTTACGCCCAACTCTAAAACTAAAAAGGATAAGCGTCGCTGCAAATATAATCCGGTAGAAAAGTCCGGAGTCGAATCCCACAGAGAACTAAGGTTTCGCTATGATTGTTCAATATCACTAAGAAGACAAGCTCGAATAAATTTCTAAGTTATAAAAATTAAGATTCTTATATATAACTAATTAACTAACAAAGTAAAGTAGTAAATTAACAACTAAAGATACTAAGGGTTGGAGACTAAATTAAGGAGGTCCTAGAGTTATGATTTCCCTAATTGTCGGAATCCTTCCTGCTACATCTCCTATACTTTCGCCTAAGTATTTTCTACTGATCATGAGCACTTTACTTATCGTAATTCTCTCTCGAGAAACTACAATAATGTACTAGTCATATTCTCTCGAATTACGCTAGCTCGCACTTTCTCACCACTCACTATGATCACGTCAAAGCTTCGTTATCTCTAATCCCGCTTTTAAACCCGCCGTACTGATCTCTCATATACCTTGGGAGTGACGTTATTCAACAACAACCTAAATATGCACTATTTCTCAAGCAATACATAATAAATAGGCACAGTCAATCAATAGTCATTCAATCAACTGAAATAAGCACATAGTTGAACAAGTAGATAAAACCAAAGGTTAAATTATTTTAAAACATAACAAGAATTCATCCTCCAAGAGGTTCCACCAAAACTCTAGATAATAAATTAGCTATTCATAAAAGTATGTGAAAACATAATACTCAAATTCATAACCAACATTAAAAATAGGAAGAAGAAGGAAAAAACTCATGGTTGAATCTTCCTCCTTGCTCCTAGCGTGTTCTTGCCTCCAAAGGTGTTGTCTTACCCTAAAGTAGTGTCTCCCCTTCAAAAGGACGTTTTATGATGTATTTATATCAATTAGAGTTGATGTGGTGCGTCCTTGATCTCTCCTAATTCGGAAAGGACGTGATGAGTCGCGTGCCAGAGTTGGTGCAACGCGCGACTTCTGGCACGCTCCCAGTTATTTCTTCTTTTTCTTTGTTTTTTCGCGTGCCAGGTCCAGCGCCAACCTCCATACTTCGTTGTTTTTTGTTCATCTCCTAGGCCATTTCGCGCCTAGCTTCATGCAATGCACCAATAGTGGCACGTTCCCATGTCGTGCATCTCTACGCTTTTTGCATCAAATCATCCAATTCTTGCCAACTTTCATCCAAATTCATTCCTACACTATAAACATGAAATGAGCATATTATATGTTTATAAACATGTAATCTCCCGCAACTCACATAAGAAATAATATGCAACATACTCAAAAACATGCATTTTTCATCATTTATCACTACCCCGCACTTAAACTTTTGCTCGTCCTCGAGCTACTTGAAATTAAGCACATCGGCAAGTAACACAATTCCAAAACATATTCAAGTATCATATCAATGATAATGGTTTATATCAACGCTTAGAATCCGACATAAGCACTCTTCACACTTTTCTTATTATTAGACCAATGCCAAGGCTATTTAAAATATTTTTGTGACTCTTCTAACAATCTAGCCTCAAAAATTGACTCCACTACATTCTATACTATAACTTGCTTCTTGTGCCAACTCAAAATCAAGGATTTTGCCAATCCTTTGCAAATCACGTGCCCTCACCAGCAAACCACAGAGAGAAATAGTCCACACACTCAAATATAAGTTCAGGTATAATCTAAGGACTTAAATATTGAAAGAATTCACTCGCTCTCACAATGAAACTCGTATGCCTCCCAAGTTCGTACCATAGGCTTGCCCGTAGTGTAAGATTTGACTAATTTAAGCTTGCAAAATCTAGGATCAAGTAGGACTTTATAGGTTGTAATGTATGGTAAGGGACGGGTAAGATATATATAAAAAAATAGTGACTAACCCTCCTAAGCACTTTAATACACCACACTTCACTTTTAAGCACATCTTCTTGTCATGACCAATTAAATATTTTGCCATGAAACCATACACAATTAAGCCCTTCTTCATTAATCACATT